TAACGAAAACACTATTAACTGGTCGTGTTTATTTATCGTCACCGCGTGCCTGCACGACGGCGGTCGTCCCGGACCCCGTGACGAGTGACGTTGGACATCTCCTCGTACGCAGGCCACGTCGGTGTGGACCGGATTGCTGTCAGATTTTAAAACGGAAACGAATTTTATAAACGATGTTCGACGGCCGCGTCAGACAGGACGCGGGTGCGCGTGTGCGTTATAAATGGAATTTCGAAACGGTTCGAAATGAAAACTGGAAGCGTACGAAAACGTTTAGAGAATTAAGGGGAAAGAAGAAGAAAAAAAAAAAAAAACTAAAAACTAAAATTAAATCTTAACTTTTGGCGCTTTCTCACGTAAAAACGAATTTCTTTTCCACGCGTACTATCAATTATCGTCATCGTCTCTGCACTTCTGTACGGATTAGGTTTTTATATTTAGACGTTTCTCTTCAAATCATTTCTCAACCCCGCCGGTGTGATTTAATTGTGTAATTTCACGACGTGTACGTAAATTTTTTTTATTTTTAAATTATTTTACGCTCGCGCACAGTCGGTGTAAACACGATTAATAAAATCGGAATAAATGGCCGAGCCACGTGAACGTCAAAACAACCCATCACGCGTCGAAATTGAAATCAATCGTTTTTTATATACCTCTAAATCACTCATCCCGTTGCGAGTTGTACAGCCACGGCGGTGGTGATGTATCTTTCGATCAGATATGTACGTTCGGACACTTTTCATTCGCACTCGTGGGTTTTTTTTTTCTTCAAACACTTGTAACATATAGCGTGCTTGTGCGGGGGTAGGTGGGGCGACGTGTTATTGGAAATAATGTGCCGACACCGTATCTTATTTACTCGAAAAGAGACGAAGAGCTTTGGTGATGCGCAGCGTAAAACCGTCAAACCGTGTACAGTGGTCTGCTACTCCTGCAGGAATCGATCGGTCACATACAGCACTTTTCGCGCAGAAGAAGATTCAGAATTATTTGAAAAGTTTTGCGCGATTGTACGGTGTGGGGCACGTGACCCGTGTATTTTACGCCAGAAGCAGACGAGATGGTTTATTATTATTATTATTATTAATATTATTAATAAAACGACCGTCGACTGACGGGAGTACGAAATACAACAACGGCTCTGAGACGGGCAAGGGGAAGGGCGATATAGAGGTATTTGATAGCGATAGAGTGTGAGGGGCGGGTAGGTTGTAGTTTTTGTTTCGCTGCAACGAACAAATGTTTGTGTTTAAAAATATTCGTTAAAACATTCCGAAAAAATAAAGGCTCGGGAAATATCCGTTGGATTTCGCAACTGTTATTTTCACGGTCGAGTGCACTGAAAAAATTCCTTGGTAAAATTGATAAAAATCTAGTTTAAATTAACAAATGTGTCGTCACTATACAGCCAATAAAGAAATTTGTTCAACTCACAAAACCAAATTGTTAATTTTTGTATTTGACAACATTTTTATCATTTAGACAAAAGTTATATTATGATTTAGATAATACGCTTTTGTTGTGCCTAACTTGATATTTTTTTGCTGTATTGTTTACGACAAAGGCAAATAAAAAATGAAAAAATATTCAAATATTTAACAACATATTTTAATAAAATATATTATTAGCACACCATAGTATAATTCATCATCAGAATCATTATTTTTGCAACTCAATAAAATATTTCTTTTTGAATGATGAAATAATTTGTTACCATATAATTTATTTTATCAATTCGATAAAATAGATGTGTTGTACCAACATATTTGATATTATTGTAAGGAAAATAAATACTGTTTCAGAAAAAGTTCAACAATACTGCCTTTTTATATACTTAATACATTAATATAGTAACTGTTTTTTGTGGTGACAAAACTAAATTTACACGTAAATGTGTTTGCATGAATTAAAAAATGTATTTCATGATAATATTATTTGGTTTAAATTAGGGTGAAATTTATCCTATTTTATTTTAATTTAGTACAAGTATTTTTGAATAAAAAGTCAAACCGTAGCCGATTGAATTGGATATTATAAATTAAATAGTTTAAATAATATTAAATATTTTAAAACATAGATCTATTGCTTTTATAACAGTAAAAACTCTAAATTTAATTGAATCAAAATAAACAATTACTTCTTTTGGCTCTAGTAGGGTATCGACAATTAATCGGCTGAATCGGTAACTTAAATTGATTACGATTAGTAATATACTCTTCAACCATTTTCACTGTGTTACAAATACGATGAAGGTATTTTGCGAATCTTTTGTTGGATATTTTACTAGATTTTTTTTCTTTGTCATGGATTATAACTTTCTTTAATATAGGAACAAAAACAGAGTATAATAAGTAAAGAGTAAACAGCTTGTTTAGCATCTGAAAAAATATGTTACTGGAGATAATTATGATCATAAAATGTATACAATAACAAATTAATCCATGATTTACTTTCACTTGGTTTTTCAATATCTTTAAAACGTATTAATATGTTCCGAGAATTGTAATTCTTGACTTTGGTTATCAGGGCACCTAACATTTTTTTCCAATTTTAATTCATAATTGCCACGAATATTAAAACAATCAGGATAAAATGCATTAAAGTCGATATCAATCTGAAAATAAATCAGGAAGACGAAAGATAAGTTTTTAGTGTATGATTTATACTTTATAAAATTTTAAGTTAAATCAGATGATATTTAAGTCTATCTAGTACCTATCTATATATATATATATATATATATATATATATATCAAGAAATAATATAATTAATAAAAGTAATTATAAAATTCCTTATTAGGTACTACAATAATTCATTTTAATAGCATAAAATAACAATAGTAATGATTTGTATGTTTGAATTCATTAACTATTGATAGAATATCACAATATAATATAAATGTAATCCAATATTAAATATATTTTTACATACTAATTTATATTGCATTGGTATCATAAAGCTTGACGATTCTTTAACGATTTTTTAAGTAGATATAGCCTTTTTAATTGTATTTAATAGATAGTTCATAGTTGCACTCTAATGGCGTTCAAGTTCACAAATTGCATCTGTCATGTCTGATTTTGTTAAAAACTTAATTTATATCTTCTTCAGGTTCTGTAATAAATTAGTAATACATTTTATTATAAATAACTAAACAAAATTTTAAGAAAATGAGTTATTTGTTTTAATGAACTCGCCATAATTATTAGCATCCCATCGATTAAAAAGTTTAGTATTAACGGATTTAGGTGGTGGAATTAAAAATAAAAATCTTAATCATTTGAGTTGGTAATCTTGAAAAATCTCCAGTAATTCGAATAATGCTCAGTCTGAATTTGTCCGGACTATCGAAGCTCTACTGTAATCACTATGTTGTTATAGGTATTAGGTACCTATTCGCAAAAATATTTTGAAATTTTGTTTATAATATTAAACAGAAAAAATATTAAGCCATGAAAGTTGATAACCCAGCTTGTGCGTATAATATAAAAAAATAATCAAAAGTTAATATACTTACCTTCCTCCTATTATTCCATTTAAATTTGTGTGTACAGACTTTTGTTTGATTTACTCTAACCAGTCACCATATTGTCCATATTGGATATCCACCACCGATGAGTATTTGTACATAAATAATAATAAACACGTGAACTAAAAAACTTTTAAACTATATCATTCGCAATTCTTAAATTATCGGTATTGAAATCAAACCGACGTTTAAAATAAACACAAATACTATATACATATAAAAAATACGTTACATTTAACAATACTTTTTTATGGTTATTCGTTGGGATGATATAGTTATAGATTTAATAAATACACTTATATATTGAATTTGACAATATGCTTATCAATTAAATAATATTTCTGTTATATTTATAAAATAATGTCCATGCAATAAATGTTAGATTTGTTAATATTCTACAAATCTATTTTGTCAATATAACTTTTATTCAGCGTGAGTTTCCTGTGAAACGTATACATTAATATTTATATATAAAAATAACTATCGAAGTCAGATTCTTGTGAATACATATAGTAATACTATAAATACATAGCAGAGGTGGCAAACAGGTCGATCGCGACATGAGTTCGCGACTCCCATTAATTTTAATTTTTTAAATTTTTTTCAGAAACCAAATAAAATATTTATTTATTTTTGTAAATATTTATACTTTGTTCGACCCACGAATATGATAATTTGATTCATATAAATTATTAAAGACAATATATATATTACAATACGTGATAATAAATAATTATGAAAAACGAAATGATACACTGAGATCCAGTAGCTGTGTAAGTATATTATATGTAGTCTAATGTATATTGTGTACTAAATAACTGTCTTTATCACGTCCGTAAAATATATAAAATTACGTGTTTTGTAAAATTAAACGCTATTATTATTAATTAATATATTAAATAGAAGAAATAAAGGAAGTGCAACATGCATGTATATAGAATAAATGTTTGCTCCGCGACAACCTAGAAAACTCAGAAGTCGATCATAAGTTTATAAGAGTTGGCCATCCCTGATATATATATAGTTAACACGTACTGGGCAACCGTGTATGATAATTCCTTAATAATTATAATAATTACAAACCGTTGTAGGTGGAAAGTTTACACAAACAATTCTGAGCTCAATCGAGTTCGTCGGAATATGGGTTCATACAATTATGCATGAGTTCGGGCGGTTAAGAGGTATTGAATACGAAATATATGATGTACATTCAGAATTTCAATCATGCTTACTCTGGAAAAAATAACACACGAGATATGTAACCATTATAGCATGAACGTTGTTTATAAAAACGGATTATTGACGAGTATATAATAATAGCGTAGATGTACTCGTTATTTTTAAAATATTTTTCTATTATTTGTCAAAATCTCAGTTGAAAAATACCTCGGTATTTCATCTCTGAAATGCACACTAAAAAAATATACACAGCTCTTCTAATTGTATGTTTCGTTTTTCTGTTCACAGGTAACACTGAAAGCCTTTCTGCAGGTAAGGATACATTTTAGATTACTTTATGAATCAATAGCGATTGATATAGCTATTTGGAGAGTTGAATTGGAAATAATTGATAGAAATCAAAAATAATGAAATAATGAAAATAACATTATTTTTATCGCTACTCAGTATGAGCGACATCAAATTAAAAACATTTTAAAATTATATGAAACCTTAATTACAAATTAACAAAAACTAATCGCTTCTAAAACGTTCGTATGTTTCATCCGTTTTATATATGCCACTTACTGTAGATATCTATTATGTGTTTGTTAAAGAAAACATGAATATCCATTTATTTCAAATTGTTTTTACAACTCAACCAATATTAGTGCATAACATGCATACTTTTATCAACAATAAAAACGACATAAAAATAAATTCGTTTTTCGTACACATTACAAACACCATTATTATCTAGTACATAAATTATGAGTAATTAATAGTTTTCGATTTTATCGTTTCTAAAACTATAACACTTGTGGCAATTTGTTCCCCGCAATATTATAACACTAAATATATAGAGGTATAGAAATATCTAGATATTATTTAAGTTGAATATAATTTTAAAATAATAATTCAATTTTAGTATTTTCTGCATGTGAAAAAGATAATTAAAATTATGTACGAATAAATTAGAAATAAATGTGAACCTTAAACAACAACTTTTATTATTTCAATTTTACTATTACACGTACCGGATTGTTTCATCAAAACTATTCATATTTGTAACAGAAACATTTGCCTTATTTTTATTTCACGATTTGATGTTTGGTTGAAATATTATTACAATTCGATAGAAAAATGTTTGACCTTTAATGCTCTTATAGGTATTTCAATAATTTATTTATACAACAATAACATTATATTTATGGAATTGAATGAATGGAATTTTATATTTTCCAACCTTCATCAGAAGAATTTTCTCTCGAGTCTGGTGAAAATGATGATAACGTTAAATCCTGGTTTTCTGTTTTGATATTTGTGCAAGCGTTGCAACACGAAGAATTGCCATCCCGCACAATTCGCAAAATTTTGTATTTTCCGACGTAGAGCTCGTAATGCATTCCAGTGTATCGGTCTGTCGTCAAACGTTGTTAAACATTTTTAAACGTGACGCTATCGTTTTTCCAAGATTTTTATTTTATTCGTAAATTCCAGATTATCTAGTCGGTAAAACTTCTTCATTTTAAACACGTATATTTTGTCACGCCGTCGAACAACGCGCGGCCACGCGAGCACCGTCCTCCATTGACCACGAAATTAACGAGTTAATAGTGATTAATCGCGGTAGACTTTCGCACAGCTTATTTATACGTCGGATGCCATATGCATATTATTAAAACCGTCCACGTGCCCATAATAAACATATTATCATTGCACAATCAGCGACAATCGATGGGGTCCCGTTGTCGTTAGGTAGGTGCATTTCATGAATAATATTCAACCGTGCGTTACCGCTCTTTGTAGTTTGTTCCGTCTACGTATATAGATACCTAAAGTGTAATAACATTCACTGTGCTGTCACGCGACGGTCGATTGATTTGATCGTTCATAAATACATAACAGATATATTATACTCGTAAATATACAGACACACCCGTGGTGTGTCAGAGAAGCGGTTCGAGACAATCTCGAAATTTACGTTTTTCTTTGAAGTGGTTGCAGGAGCCAAGTTAGGTTAAGTCGAATCTGATTCCCGGTCATCGTATTTAAAAATATTGTACGAATCTATTGAAACAAATACCCTTAAAAAGTTATCAATTATTACTCCGTTTGTGTTGTTCTTAATGCATTGCGATACGAAACTTATGAGCGGACATAATAAATGTGGGTGTACCTACTATAATGATGTACTATACTAATGCAGAGTTGCATAAATGTCCATTAGGGTCTAAGGGATCCTTAAATATTTAACAGTCAAACATCAAATAGAGGCTCATGATCCATCCATTAAAATTTAACGAGATGTTAAATTTAACGAATTTGTGTAAAATCTGAAATAGATATAATAAAGACTTTACCGAAAAACGAGAAATTACATAAACTGTACTATATCGATTAAAGTTTTTTCGGTTTTACCAACCGGTTTCAGTTTGAACGAAAATAATAACATTATTAAAATTTAATATTCAAATGCGTGTACCTACCTATTTGATGATACCACCTTATTAGCGAGAATACAAACCCTCTACGCATAATTTTGAATGCTTTGACAAACTACATGCCCAGTGGAAGAAAAGTGAATCGCATATAATTATCTGAAGGGCCTTAGTTTCCCTCAAACTCCCCACAGTCGTGCGTACGTGGCAAACGCAAACACGCCTATTCTCCTGTACAGACCACAGCCCGTCATCAACGTATATATACACTACGAGTATCGTTTTGATTCTGCCAATGATGGTTAATTAGATTATTTCATAATACCTAATATTTAATACCAAATGAACTCGCCTCTATACATATTTTATACGTCAATCCTTGCGAGTAACGTTTTGTGTTCATAAAAAGTTGTGATTTAATAAACTTTCAAACAGGGGAAAAAATGTTTATAGTAAAATTAATAAAAAATTCACATTTCGGTAACAAAAATAAATAAATAAATAAATAAAAATACTATTACTAACCGATTTTCAACAAATATGAAATATGAAATATGTTTGTGTTTTATTATGTTGTGTTGTGTCTCTACTGATTAAATTATCAGTTATGTGTAACTTAATTGGTATATAATATGAAAAATGCATTACGAGTGCTCCAGAAGTTTATATGAACTCATAATTTATTGTAAATATTATTTATATGGTGATAAATTAGTTATTTTTGAAATTTCTAAATTACTCATAGTAGTTTAAAAATACTGATGTAATACAGAAAATATGATAATTTTTAAGGATATATAAAGTTTAGAATTTTTATTATTGTTGTATGCAGTATTATTAAATTAGAAAATTTCATTGCGAAACTATTTTGAAAGCCTAATGAGTGATAACAGAATTATGACTGTAGTGACAAAAGTAAATTTCGTGAACACACATTTGTGAACAGCTTTTAGTAAGCGCTGAAGTGCGTTTAGAATTATATTTTAAGCACACCAAGGTCTTGCTTTAAAATTTAAATGCACCCGTTCCATTGACTTTTGTTATTATTTTTTTTTTTAAATGTTGTCAAACTCATAGGGAAAATTTTAGAAATTTATTGATTACAACGTCATCGCCACATTATTATGTTTTGTTGAACAACGAGAATTTTTTTTCTCTCATAATACATAGCCGTATTTAAGTAATATTATAAAATAGTTTAATGGAGTAAAATTTGCGTGTCATTGTTTGTGCACTCTGAGCGTATCGTATTGGCAATGATATACAGTGGCGTATTCAGAATAACTTTATGGGGGTGGTTACAGGAATAAAAATATATCTACAACATAATATTATATGTATTATATTATATCGATATGCACATTTTAAAATTTATTTCTAAACATTTATTGATTAAATATTATATTGTCATTCTTATAAAAATTAAAAAATAATATACCTCCTCGTATTTACAATATTTATTACAGTTAATAATAATAATAATAATAATAATAATAACCATTATTTAATACCTATTAAAATAAATTTCAATTTTTAATTATAAAATTAAATTAATTTTTCTTTTTTTGTTGTTAATTCGTTTAAAATAATATCGTATTATAGAGAACGTTATTACCTGTATATAATATTACATTTTCATATTTGGATACTTGGTTAATATTAAACGCAACTGATCTATTGATATTGATCGTAATAAAACGCAAGCAATTATTAAAAATAACATTAAAAAAAAGTCCAAGGGGGTGGTTTTACCCCCAAAACCACCCCCATAGATACGCCACTGATGATATACATGTATTATATTCTATAGAAAGACGAGTGGATAAACATATCGCCGCCTAGGACTTATTTATTTCTCCATACACACATTGTAAAGGACCAAACCATCTAGTTACTATACTTTTATTTCTTTTTTTTATATTATTTTTAATTTGATAAATTTAATTTTAAACGCAATTGCGTTTACACTACACGTGTCGGTAATAAAACATACACACATAGCGGATAAGTTAGGTTTATATTTATATACACACTAACGCACATATACACATAAGTAAGTATATTACACATATAAGTCTATACAAAGCGCAAAAGGGATTGTGTTGTCTGCGGCCTCCTAGTGTATATTTATGTACACATATAGACGTGTATCTACGTTAAGTCGTCTCGTTTGCTATGGCGAACAACCACTGGTCGTAACGAATAAAAAAAAAAACCCCGGCGACGGCGTTGGTGGATAAATTTGATTATAAGTTGTGTTTTCATTATCAATAATGTGATTTTATAGAATAATTACACTTCTAACGAAATATACGCGGGACGAGGAAAACAACACGCTATTTCAACCGCAGCGATGCGTATTTTCTATCTCCGGCGACGATGATGTAAAAATGATGAGTTTTTGCGACTTTTATCTTCAAAAAATTATTCAACTTCCGAACCCGACCCGAAATCCCGAAAATTTCACCGTCGTAGTATATGGGCGTTTGATAATGTTATAGCAATCGTGAACTTCTGCGTATTTTATATACTGTGATAATGCCATGCAGACGTAAACAGCGGATGGACCTACTAGGATTTTTAGATTTCAAACAATAGAATTATAATAATCAACCTTTTCGGTAACTCAAATTCAAGATATACTGTGTCATTGGATAGAAAGGTCATCTAAAATAAAATTTAGTTTCATGTAGGTACCATAGATCAACTTAATTCATTGGTACATGATATAATATACTAATTGTTATTTTATATAGTTATGGATCACCCTTCTGCAAAATTTATAATAAAATTGAATTATTCAAACGCCGCACAATAGTTCTTACTAAAAATTGAACATGATTTTTTTTCAACGAGACTATATTAAATTAAAATTCTGCAATGTATCCGTTG